CAGAACAAATAAATCGTGTAGCTCAACAAGCTCGTAATAATCAAATATCATCAACAAATAATAGCAAACAGATATTTGTTTTATCTGATGAAACTCTAGAATTAGCTCATGAAGTAGAAACTATGCAGACAGAACTGATTGAACTAGAAAAACAACTACATGATGGTTACTTAAACGACAAGGTTCGGACACTAATTTTACAAATGATCGTCAAAATTAAACGACTTAATTCCAATCTATTAATTAAATCGATCAATAATATTAAAGATTTTGATTTTAACGTCGATGTCCTCATGCCTGATCAACAAATAGCACTTTATAAACAGCTTTATACTAGAATAAGAACGTTAGTAAGAAATCGAAGGATTTCGATAGCATCCATTCTCAAGCATCTGATAGTTGATCAGAGCGTCGATTTTGTGAAACAATTACAATTATCCAAACCATATAATCACAGTTCAGTCGATAATGACCAAAGTACAGTAGGCAGCTTAATTGTCCACGCTACTTTTGGATTACCATCAACTGATGATTCTAACGTTTTCAGTGTCTTCGAAATTCACACGCTTCCATTCTTTCTTTCATGATAGTAGTTATCAAACAATGCATGTTTCATCGTACATCGGTATTAACGTTCAACAAAATAAATTTATCGAATTATATACAGAAGATTCGAATATAGCAAAATGTGATTTCATTAGTGAATTGGTACTTTGTAGATCTCCATTACCAGTTGTTAATCGAATCAACAATTTGTGCATCAGAAGCATTCTAAACCCAGAAACTTCTCATGGTAGTAATGAAGATTGCTTATTTGTCAAAATTATAAAGGACACGTTTCGAATATTTAAATTATCGACAAATACTTTTATATTCGGATCAAGTCACATAGTAACTTGTAAGGAGGTAAATACAACATACCAAACAAAACGATCTAACCCGTCTTTACCAGTTAATAATTGAAATTAATGGGACGCGAAATCACGCCAAAGGCTCATATGAGAATGTACTGAAAGTATCTGTCCTTAGCCTGGAAATGGATGCAAGTACGGCCATAACTTCGAGTTTTTTAATCCAAATAATTATAGTTCTGATAATTGACTTAGGGATCATTATCTATGTTAGAAAGTCATTCGGCTGTATACCACAGTTGACATAATGTACACGGTCGCTCAAGTACTTATACCACAATACTCGCTATTAGCACTATTAATTTAGCACTAGTTCATTTTAATCCGCATAGTATATAATCAAGCGTACATTTTCAGCACAGTAATCGTTGTTTCTTTTGTTTTGTGGTGAAAAGAAATGAATAAAAAATATATGAATAGAGGACACATTTACTAACTTTTAATTCACCTCATTCAGCTCAAACTTTATGAAAAAGGATCTGGTATAAACGCCTTGGGCATGAGAAATATGAGAAAAATAATAAAATACCACAGGATATCAAGAGCAACGAGTGGTACGGGAGTATTCATCTTTTTATCATAAGTAAACATACAATGTTTTTTGGTCCTGTATTACTGAAAAACTACAATATGAAAATTATAAAAATAAAATTATAAGAGCAATCAGTGTTACAATTGACCGATCAGAACATTGGCTAAACGTACACGCATTTTTCACTAGGTATTAGTACCACTTGATCTATATAAATAAAAATAAAAGAACAATAGTTGAGCTGATACTGAAACTAGGAGTATCGTTATTTTCTAGCCTTACCTTGTTTCACTATTAATCCAACAATAGGCCGACTATATTTCTAATAGACATTCATTAAATATTTTCATAAAACATTGCGCCCAAAAGTATCGAACGATAATTAAGTGTTAATCTCTAGAAAATAGAAAAAGATCTGATATTAAACAGTAATATAGATGTTTTTTATATTTCTTTCACACTTTTATATCTTTTTTTCGGGCACACTTAACGATCTAAGGCGTTTAATATGATCAGAATCACCAGCAGAATAAATATCGTTTGACATATAGAAGATAATAACGATACGAGAAAAAATCCGCCTTACTTTTCTCTCATTTTTCCTTGAAGTATGATTACTACAGACAAAAATAGCGCTCAAGGTAATTGATTAACTTGTATTTTCTTATAGCGTCCATAGGCATAGGATTACGGTTATTTTCTCGTACTTTAGTATCCATTTCGAAATAAATTTATATAATAAATTGTAGGCATTAGTAAAGGACAGGTAAGTTATAAAAGCGTATGCGTTAGATATAGTGAAACATACGTTAGTTATCCAGAAATTGTATTTTCGTTGAAAAAGGTTATCTGCTTTAGAGGAAAGAGAACAGAACTGTTTTTCAGAAATATCAAAAACTACACATTTCAATTATCATCTCAAATATCTTTTAACAATAGAAAAACATTAAAGAGAAAGAAAATCTGACAATAGTAATAGAAACGATAAAAGTTACCAATAGTAGAAAAGTATCATAAAAATGTATAGAAAGAGAAAGAATACGCATCTGGCAACTGTAACGAAAGAACAACGAACTAGAGGAGTAGAAGAAAACAAATCAAAATTTATGAATTAAAAAAATAAAGCTATTTGAGAAAGAAAAACACCAGAAATGATGAGAGAGAGAAAAAGAGGTCAGTAAGAGTAGTATCATAAAAATCTTTATGCGAAAATAGTAATAAAAAAACGACAAATTCATGTATTCTCTTCTTCTAGAAGAGTCTTTTAGGATCGTAACGAGCATTATTCACGCCAACCCCAAACATGAAAACAAACGATAAAAAACAAAGTCCAAAAGTGGACCAAAACGAAAGTCCAAATGCTTTACGTAACCTGTCCATTATGAAAAACCAGAACAAAAAATTAAAACCAGGAAGAAAAAAGAAAACAACATAGTATTTTTTTATTTTAATTATTTTTAATAGATAATAACAGTTCAAGAAAGGAATAAGGGCCAAATAGCCGCTTATCCCTGCTTTACGAAAAACACAAACAAGCCCTATGAAAAAAACGATAGTGTAGAAATCGTTTAAACAAAAGTCAACAATTCCTATCAAGAAGTAAATGTCCATTATGTTAAAAAATGTTTGATAATAAATGGTTAGCGGACTAAAATATACTACAATGGATTCAGAGAACACAGGAGTACACGCATTTATCTACACATTCAGGTGCTGTAAATAACAAAGCGGTCTCCAATAGACGCAAAAAGGAATCAGTCTTGTACCTTTTTTTAGAAACTTGCTGTAATTGCAATGTTTTTATGAGATTCAACCAAGGGCGAAGAAGTATTTTTTTATCATAGTACCTTTCCGCTTCCGAGACAGCTTCCAAATCTTCGTTTTTAGTCTAATAGTTACCTTCTTTGTTTTCTAAAATTCAAGATGATAGAGGGATCGAATCCGTATTACAGTGACTTTTTTGGGTTTTTCTTGTCTTCTACATGTGTTCTACATCAATTTTTAGCAGTAAAACATACGAAAAAGGATATTTCATGTTAGTATCTTCTTCCATATTATGTAATGAGATATTTCGACTTAAACTCAAAACGAAGTCATTGTAGTATCCTTTTTGTATGTTTTACTGCTAAAAATTGATGTAGAACACACGTAGAAGACAAGAAAAATCCAAAAAAGTCACTGTAATGCGGATTCGATCCCTCTATCATCTTGAATTTTAGAAAACAGAAGGTAACTATTAGACTAAAACAATCATCGGCTGATTTACAGGGTCCCAGCACCTTTTAGCACCCGACAGCTCCTTTTAGTTGACAGCACCTTTTCAGCACTAGGTGCCGCTTTTCGCCTTACATTCAACAGATTCGTACCTGAATAGAGGACGCAGTGTTGAAAATATTGTTATTAATATTTAAAATACGAAATGCTACAATAAAATTAAACCAAACACGCTGCGCATGAACGTATCTGTAAGAAAACGAAACACATCTTTTATATGTTGGCTTGTATTCTGACAAACTGCGGCCTAAAAATTTCTTGTTTTTGCACTCTTTTCAACTCTAAAGATCACAAGTAGGGTTCGACTATGAAAAGGAGATTAAAAAGTTTCTCATCTAACACAGTATTCTCATCCAAAACCAAAAATTTTCAATTAATGGGATGAAGTATCCGTTCAAGCAGAGATGGGCAACTCCAACTCCGGAGTTGAGCTTCTTTTTAGTGGAGTTGGATTTGAGTTGGAGTTTCGTTTTTATTAGATTAGAGTTGAAAATAATTGTGAAATAATTTTCGCCGAACTAATGCATTCCCCCTAATTGGTTGTAAACAGCGTCAATGTCACTATGATCTTCTGACAAAGTTTTCAATAGCAAATTAAAATATTTCTCAGCTTTATCTACCTGACCCATGTGTTTCCGCAACATGCATCCAAAATAGATAATTGGACTCTCATCTTCCATATGTTTGTTTCTTTTGCAGTTTGAGATGTTCATAGACACTTTTCGACCCGTAATCGGACGTTGTCATTTTCAATACCCAAAGTCTCTGATGGGCATCATATTGAATAGAATCAATCTTAAACACAGCTCCGAGGCTGAATAAAACTTCTTTCTCACCTCTCATACTACTGTACTGATCAATATCAGCAAAGACAACGGCCTTTAGTCGAGGGTCTGCTCTAACCTCAAACAGAACACTTTTCACTTCATCGCTGTCGGCTCCAGTGAAAATTAAGGTGACGTTAATATCTTGTGAAGTGGAAAAGCAACCATTCGTAGAAATTAGAGAACCAACATTTTCTTCCAATTTCTTTACTTCTTCTGCTGCTAACTGTGCACCGCGATAAAGTGTTAATATCTTTAACTGATCCAATTTCTTATGTTCCTCTTCCAAGCTTTTGCACAAGTCAATGATGTAGAAACGGAATAAGTGTAATAATTCAACATCTTCAGTGCGAAGAGCTTTATTGAGTAAGCGATAGAGAAAAGCGTCAGCAGGAAAGCAAACTCAATTGCTTTCTCCGGGCGATATGTCGGTTCAAAATCCTTAATTTTCATTAGTGCTCCCACATCACCATCCGATCGATAGTACTCTCGACAGAATTCAATCATTTGCGACTTGGCAAATTCATCGTGTGGCATCTGCCGAAGGACGTTCAAAAGCAATTGAAACCAGAGGAATGAAGCAGAGTCTTTCGAAAGATCTTTCGTTGTCTTTTGTTTCTGACTGAACAGACTGAAAGCAAGAACTTGTCTGGATGCATTTTGGAGAGAGGACTGCACTGATTGCAACAGAGAAGCTTGGTCAGTGACAACGTGGACGATCTTTGAATATTCATTCTTCAGTGAGATGTCAGCTTCAAGATTGTCACAGAAGATGAAAACGGAAGAGATTGCAGCTTGTCGTTGTAATTGGGAAGTACAGTGCGAGCGAGGAAACTAGAAACAATAATATAGACTCTTTCATCGTTCACTGACTTGACGTAGTCCATACATCGTGTCGGATCTGTATAGAACTGAACGTAGCTGTTGAGATCTTTCAGGAGACGCTGAGTATGCTGTGAATCATGCGAATCATCGATGTTCTGTTCTAGCCAAATGAGGGTAAGGTCTTCTCTGTTTTTCGGTATTTCTTTAACTCGACGATCGCGTGTTGTGACTAGCGAAGTAGCAGTTGTCATTTTGAGGGAGCTGAGATTTAGCTTCTACGTGTATCTACAGGCCTTTCTACTTTTTGTTACTTAAGAGCAAAAGATAGCATTCTGTCAGCCCTTTCTTTAATAATCCGCTTTTTGTGATATCACCTGTCATATCACTTTTTTATCTCACACAGTCAAGACGTACATCTCTCTTTCCTTCTTTTTTGTATACTTGGTCGCACTTACGTGTAGGTCACGTTGCTGTTGATTTATTTTGTAAAGGAGTAGTTGTAATAGTCAAAGACAAAAGAGTCTTAATGATAATTTTGATAAAAATAGAACAAATTTATTGGTTAACGATGATTTAAATGTTTCTGGTAATGAAAACTACTCGAACGAAAATGAACAAACAGTGATTTCTAGATCAAACGATCGCGTGTTTGCTGATTTATCGAATGTTAGATCTAGTACCATAAATGGACAGCATGTAATACTTGATAGCCATTATCCACAATACAATAACGATTTCCTTCGTAATCAACAGCACCAGTTTATGCAACATCAGTACAGAAGAAAAATATTGCATGAACTTTCAAGCACAGAGTGAGACAGATGGAAACTATCCTTCTAGCGTCGCCCGCAAACGTTTCAAAATCTGAAAACTAGTTTTATAGGTTTTGCGATGCCCTCTACAACATAGACGAATCAGAAGCTGTTTTTCGTGTAAAAACGTTTTCCACTGTGGGAACCTGGTTTGCCAGATAAACCGAGCCTTGGAAGCGCCATTAACAAAAACCACTATCATAGCTGGATTCAGTATAGTGAATAACCTTTAATCTACCAGATTTCAAGTAAAAATCGGTGTTAGGCACACACTGACCACCATTGGCACATAATTCAAAACGGCATGAAGACTGAAGAAGGTGACACTGAGGACCAAATTGACCGAGAGGGCATACGCAGATGAAACCATTAATACATACTGACTCGGGTGCACAGTTACACATGGACTTACTGATACACTGGGTATCTGATCAACCAGATTAACATCGGCAAAATGTTGAACTTTTATCATTGACATAGTTGAAGCATCAACCATGATTGCATGGTGGTGCACATTTTTTTTCAAGGGATTCAACGTTGAACATGGGAACTGTGAGTAAAATGGATACGCGATGTACCGGTAGAAACGGAAATTGAAGTGGAAAAACCTCACTGGCGCGATAGTCAAATGTCAGTTTGTTAAATGTACTAATTTCGTACTGAATAGTTTTTTGATATGTGTTTCGGTCCAGCTGAATAGAACAAACAGATATTGAATTTAGTTCTGCAATCTCGTATGGGCAAATATTCGATGTGGTCATGTGATTCAATATTTCTTTCACTGTCGAATAAAGTGATTATGAAAGCGAATATGCTGCTTCATTCTGAGGTGACTCGTAGTTGAAGTGTAAGGCTTATGCGTTGATTTTGGTACTGACATTGCTCTCCGTAGTAACTCGGTGGATAGAGACAAGACAGGTTGTATTTGTCACTATTCACCCGAAAACGGATACGTTTTTCTATGTATAGTTTTCGCTGTTGGAATGACACAAAGTGTATTCCACTTTCTCGACTCTGTGACCAGGTGATGCACTGTCGATTTAGCGACGATGAAACGTTCTGTACGAATCATGGAAATCCAATGAATGAGTTAATACTGAAAACATTGTGTAGCCACGGAATTTGAGGATCCTGTCAGGATTTCAATAATTCCTAATTGGGAAAAAACAACAGAGTTCACTGTATTCTGATAAAAGCAAATCAATGCAGCCTCCAACAAAGCGGAAATAAGCTACTCATAACCTATAAAACCTTATTGAAACTTGTGTGTACATTTACTGTATTGTCTTTTATTCAAAGACACATGAGTTCCACAAAATTAGATGTATATGTGAAAACGTGAAATTACAAACGCTAATACATTTTTCTAACATCTAACCAGGGGTGGGCTCAAAGGTTCGCAGAGGGTGCTGAGCCCACCCTCCGCCACTGCTCGGAATGTTACACTTGCACTTCTGGGAAGGAGCCGATGTTTTGTAGACGCTTGATATTCAAGCGAAGAAAATAGTCTTTTATAGAAAACATAATTTTAATTCATACTGCAACGTCCAACAACTAACAAGTCATTACATCTAATGCAAATTCAAGTTGCCATTTGGCACTTGTGAAGTAATGGTTTCATTCACAACATAATTTCCGAAACAAGCAGCAGCATACTGAGCTTTATCATAACTATTCTTCTGCGTTGCAAGGAAATCTTCTAATGAGCAGAGACCATCAGGTCGAGAAGCGTATCCTAGTGTTACCAGCGGAAGTGTTTTTCCATTAAGTTGCATACGGATGAATTTCTTTCCATTTGTGATGTTTGGATTTGTGTAGATGGTGTGCCTCTTTGATCTCACTGGTATAGGCTTTGATGTAGAACAGGTTAATACTTCGGTATATAATCGAGCTCCAAAAGGTGTCATTTGAGAGAGACGGAAATTTGGAAGTGGACTTGGTGCATTTGAAATATTGTAAGGAAGGCCTGTCTTTGGACCTTTGAAGTAGTTCAGACCAAGAGCAGTCAATGTAGAGATAATGATATCATCATGACTCATGTCTAAGTAGAACGGTTGTTCCAATGGGAAAGTGGTAGGATTATTATCAAGGGTCGAGTTAACACTTGTGTTGCTGATGTAGAGATACTGGTTTT